AGCTGACATGTTGTTGTCCTTAAAGGGTTCATCTTTTTTAGTTCTTTTCATAGGGTAAAACTTGTTATTTTTTTTTATTTTATTTTTGTCCTTAATAAATAACATTTTCTTAAATTTTTGTTTTATAAGAGAATTTGATTAAGTCATTCTTTATATTTCTTTTTGTAATAATGAGGGTTGTTGTCCAGATTTTATTGAAGCCAATACAATTTTTTGAAAAATGGATAAAAAAGGAAAAGAGGTCTTTTGAATAATTAACTAACATTGTTAGGATTATTTCTTCGAACAACTTCTTTATTAATTATTGATTAGGGCACTTAATTATTTTACACTTTCGACTGGAACCTTTGATACGGGCTTTATTTAGTTTTTAACAAGAATAAAATAAAAAGGACTGTTTATTATTTTGGTTTTAGAATTGTAGACTCATCGAAAAATTAATAGTACTTAATTATAGACATCAAAGTATTATTTTGGAAACTTCACTAAAAACGATAAGAAACTAAGAACTTCTTTCTTTTTTCATTTATGACTGAAGTCCCTTGTATATCTGAACTATTCTTCCAACATGAACCAACCCCATTACTTCTTACATATTGTAAGATTATGATAAAAGGATGTGATTTAGTTGAATCAAGAGTTCATTGTAAATTACTAATACGATATGCTACAGGATATGGACTACTTAGAGAAGTTTTATCTTCTTTAGGAAAATTAGAAATTCAAAATACACCACCATCTTCATTTATATTTCGTGGAAATTCAGCATTTACTCGATTATTTTTCTATTATATAGAATCTAGTTGTACTAAATATTTAAATAAAGTTATATCAACTTTAGTTGATGAAATGATGACTAATCCACGCTTCTATTTTGATTCAGTTGATCCTACACAAGCAGAAAATGAAAATTTAGTATTTGAAAGTTTAGATAGTGTAACAGAAATTATGGATGAGTTAGGAAAATTAATAATAAGTAATTTAGACTTAATTCCCCCTCAAGTTTTTGGAATTATAAAAGAATTATTAAATGAAGTCCAAAAGAAAGATCCTGAAAATACTGAGCAAGTAATTATTACATTTAAAACTATCTTCTTTTTAAGATTTTTATTTCCTGCTCTAAATAGTGCTGAAAAATATGTTTCTATTCAACTTCGTTTAGAATTATCCCAAATTATTGACCAAGTTCGAAGTATAGTTAAATTTGGACAATTAGTGGTTAATGGGAAACACTCACCAGATGAATTAACCAAATATGTTTTACAAGCATGTGGTGGATTTAGTAAAACAGTTGATTCATTATTTAAAACAGTAATTAGATATAATGAAATTAAATCAAAAGAATGTCTTGGTATTGATTACAACACTCAATTATCAGTAACAAAAGAATTATTATCATATATTAAGCCATTTTTAAAAGATTTTCAAACAGAATTAGAATCAAATGGATATGCAGATATTTTTAATAGAATATTCTATTGTTCTAAAAATACAAAACATGATTGTTTAGAAGTCACTTCTTTATTACTTACTACTAAAAAGATGCATCATTTTATGATGAGTCGACTATCTCAATTACAACATGAAAATGAATTCTATCTAAAAAAAATAGTTGAAATGAAAAGAATTAATAAAAGATTAAAAAATACACTTGAATCTTCTTGTCCATCAAGTCCTTTACAAACTACTCCTTCATTACCTAATCCAGATAACCGTCGTTCAGTAGATATACCGTCAACTAAAAGTATTCTTCTTTTTCAATAAAATCTTTTATTTTAATAATTCAATTGTCATTTTAACTTAAACGTATTAAATTATAATTTTATTATTCTAAAGGAACATAGACAAACATGTTCTTTGATATTACTGGAAGTCGATAAATGAGTTGTTTTGATTCAAGGTATAATTTTTCTTGTTCTATTTTTCGTTGAAAATTCTACTTAAAATGAGTTTATCTAAAAAATAAAATACTTGCTAAAAAAAACTAAAAAACAAACGGCTATGATATATCTTTCAGATGTATTGATAATTTTTTGATGAAGTTCTGGGTAAATAAAACATCTCATAGTAAGTTGGCTATATTCTATCATTACATTCCACATTTTTTGAGCAAGAAACTTTTTTTTATTAAGGGCATATTTAACAAAAGAGTCTAATAAAGAATTCTTCATATCATCACCATATTTTAATCCATAAAATCCTTTTGAGACATCAAGATAACATAAATTATGTAATGGAGATTCTAATGAAAGTGTAGGTTCACAAATAACAAATATTTGAATAAATCGAAGTTGTAAAGGAAGTAGAGCTTCTTGTTTATCAACAATTTGTATATTTGGAGATGTTTGTGATGAAACACCACCAATACATAATGAAGATAAAAATTTAGCAATAGAAATTAATTTGGAAATATCATATTTTTCACTTGAATAGACAATACACTGAAGACCTGATAATAAAGAAAATAAAATGTTTGGAAAACAAGATGAGTATGTATTAACTAATTTTTGATAATCAAAATCATTTGGCTCTGGTGTATTTCCTAAAAAAGTACATGGTGGGAACGGTGGATTTAGAGAATTTTCAGAAATAGTATATTCTGATATATTTGAATCAATAGAATCTGATTTTGTTAATGGTTTTTGTAGTGATGAAATAGTATTTTTATAAGTCCTATGAAATGGTAATGTTTTATGAGAAGCAAATGACCAATTAAATAAAGAATGACCACCTGAAGCAATAATATGAGATGGATGAGTTAAATTAATGAAGTCAGTTAATACAGAATAGTAAAAATGTGTTGATAATAAATTATAGGCAAACCCTGTTACTACCCTTTTGAATAAAGAAGGTGTAGGGTCAGTTGAATCTATAAGTTCTTCAAGAGATAAAATAGATGAATAAGAAATTGATGTGTCATGAAGTTTTAAAGCTATTGACTGAAGTTTTGATGATAATTGGGTAAGTCGTTCCGTAAGTAAATTAACTTGAGAAGAAGTAAATGGTATGGTTTGTATAATAGCAATACAACACGTGGTAACAAATCCTCTTTTATTTGATGGGTTATAGCAAGTAAAATGAATACTCACCACATGATAATTAGTAATAGTATTTAATAATAGTGTAACTGGTGCATATCCATAATAATCTGCTCCCATCATCATTCCAATTAATTCTTTTTCTACTGAACTATTCATTGGATGAGTTAATTGTTTATAAGCTATTTTTTCTCCACTAACATTATCAAATTCAATAATATACATCCCAACAAATAAATTATTCATTTCAAGTTTATTAGAAACAAAAGAGTCACCAAAAGGAATAGATGAAATAACAGGAATAGTTAATAATGGAACGTCTGGTGAAGAGGTATCACTTTGTTCGTTCATTTCTTTAATTAAAAAATTTTAAAACTCCATCTCAAAATCATCAAAAATAGATTATTTTTAATAATTTTAAAATAACAATTTTATTTTAATACTTATTTATATTTTTTGTTATTTATTCCATACCATCAATGTCTAATTCAAAAATTTGTTGAATTTTCAAATTTGGTGATGGTTCATATATTTCAATTGTATCTTCATCAGTATCAATTTCATCCCATTTACTTTTATTCATAAATTGATCAATTTGTTCATAAGAGAGTTGTTTTGGTTTTTGATATTCAAGAAATTGATCGAAGTTAGTGTTTTTAAAGAAAGGATAGTTATTTATAAAATAGTCATAAAGGTCATATTTATTATCTAACATATTCCATTCAATATTTTTTAATATACAACTTAATATTGTTCTATATAATGGTTTTGTATATTTTATTTCAAAAGAAAACTTTTGTTTTCTTAATTGAATTTGAATTGGTTGATGAAGTTCTTTTTCTTTTGAACTATTAAATTCTCTTTGTTCTTCTTTAGACATAAACTCTATTTCATCTTTATCGAAAGTATTTTTTAATCCAACTGATTGAAAACTTTGACGAATAATATTTGAATTCATATTTGCTTTGATGATCCATGACATTTTAGTTTTACGATAATCTGAAATTGTGCCAATAATTCTTTGATTTATTCTTCTTTCAAACGCATCATTTATCATTAAATGAATAAAAGTATCAATTGGATTCCAGTAATAATTAATTTCTTGTTTATTATACATTATTTCAATTTTGTTTATATTAATATATGACTCAATTTCTTTATCTTCAAAATATTCTTTGAGATGTTCATTTGCAATAAATATAATTTTTGAAGAATACTTCTTTATATTTTTCTTTTTATTAATTTCTTTTATAACAATCTCTTTGAACCATTCTTTAAAGTTATTAATGTCACAATAGGTGTTTTTTATCGTTCCTATAAAAATATGTTCATTTTCTTTATCTAAATACTCCTCTTCTTGACTTGGACTTGAACAAACTAATAAAGGATTAATGCTTGTTCCATCAGCACAGATACATCCCATTACATTAGACAGTAACATACCTTCATGAAATAAAACAGGGTATTGTCTTTCCATATGTGTTGGGTGTTCTTTTAGTTCATTGACAAAATCTTCTAAGTGAAGTGATTTATTAACAATTAGTCTAGGAGATTTGTACAAATCAAGTATTCCACCAAAATTACCAATACAAAAAATAAATGACTTTGGTACTTCTTTACATTTTTCAATAAAACTTTTTTTATATTCATCTCCTATTTTTTCGATGTTATAATCCTTAAGGTCATGATAGAATATTATATTTGGGTCTACAATTTCTCTCCATCCAAACACATTAAGTTCATTAACTAAATTATAATTAAATATTATTCCGTACTTTTGTGCTGTTGAATGTATTTGATTAATACTAAGAAACCCATAAACTCTTTCAATGTTTTGTAATTGAAAAATAAATTGGTTGAGTTTTTCTTTTGATACAAAAATTAAAGAACTTTCTAATACCATAAATCTGTTATGAAAAATTTTATCTATTTCTTCTATATCATAAGGATGTCTTAGATAAAGAAATATAAATTGTTCAAATGAATTATTTATTATTTTAAATTCTTTTCTTTGAATTTCTTTTTTAATTTCTTGTTGAATACTTCTCTCTAATAATTTTAAAACCATTGGCTCTTTCTCAGAATATCGTTTAACATACCAATGATATATTTTCTTTTGTTCTTTTGTAAGTTGCAAATAAAAATTTTGAGTTATATACTCTTTCTTCTTAATAGATGAGTCAAACTCTTCACTATAAGTCTCATTCTCATCAACTAATTCATTTAGTGAATTATTTTCATAAAACTCTTCATCTAAAATATACTCAATTTCTTTTTTTCTTTCTATCTTAGTTAATGTTGGTATTTCAATAATACTTTCATCATTTTCTGACCAACTACTAATATCTGAAAATATATTTTCTTCTTCTACTATTCTTTGAGTTAATAAAAAATTATCATTAAAGTTTTTTTGCTTGTTTATTTTAGTATATCCATTATTTATTTTTTCATTTATATTAGTACTTGTTAAGTCATTAATAAATCTTTCACATGTTTTTTCTTTATCTTCAGTTCTTTGATTTTCATTTGTTTTAGATAAACTTCTTATAAAATTACTTTCCAATAACCCACATTTAGTACACACCATATCCAATACTTCTTCTTTTAATTCTGAATAATCTAATTCATAGTCATTAAGTGCAAGAGTTAAAGGATTTAATTTCCTAGATTCAGAATGATTCAAAACGATTAATTCAATATTATAATTCTGAAGTTCTATCATATTATTGAAACATAACTGAAAATATTCATCTAATAAAATAAATCTTTTTCCTTGAAATTGCTTTTTTCTACTAATTATTTGTGGTATTACTTTCTTAACAAACCATTCTTTCATTTGATCAAATGTATAATATTCTCCTTTAACATGAAGTGTTTCAAACTTAAATCCATCTAACCCCACAATCATTACTTTATTAGATAATTTAGACTCTCTTCCTAATTCAAATCTTTCACTATACTGAATAAGAGATCTTCTAGTAATTACATACATTTTCTTATCTCGGTAGTTTTGATATCCATATTCTTCTAAAGAAAAAATACACTCCTTTGGAGTTATTTTAATTTTATTTAATATTTCTTGCCTCTTTATAGAACAGTCATATTCTCTTTCTTGTTTAATTAATGGAACAACTCTTCTTTCATAATAAAATCCAGTACTTCCAAAATTTATTGATAACGGTAATTTATTCTCTTTAAGAAATAAATTAACAGAATTTTTTGTTGCAACAATTCCTTTTGTTTGAAGAGTATAAAGAAAATTAGATATTTGAGTTGTAACAAGTATTTCGTTCTGTATCTTTTGACTCATGAATAAATTAATTTTATAGTTCTTCTGAACTAAACCAATTTAAATAGTTATTTGAATTTGGCTTTTATTCTAATTATTGGTCAGATACTTAATTCTATTATCCTTTTTCTGCCAAAATATTTTCATTTCATTTAAGTGATGTGTCTTTTCTTTTGGTTGTAATATTTCTTTTTTTTTAAAACAAAAAAAAATTGAAAAAATTGGGATTTCATTTTCTTGTTTATCGTTGTTTCTTACTATTTCTCTCTTCATAAGTATCATGCATAGCTTTAATTCTGTTTATGATGTCTAATGCTGTAACGGTAGAACCTGAATCATAAACATCCATTATATTCATTTCAATAGCATCTTTATATAATAATTCATTATACTCATGTTTACCATGTAATACTTTATTGATATGCATCTTTTCAATC